ATAGTCGTTTGACTCTCTAGCATTTTAAGAATGTAAATATACATAAGCTCATTTAAAAGTCTTTTTATGTTAAAATATGTATTAATGGAGCTCAAATTGCAGTGAACTTTAGACCATTTATTTAAAAGCAGAGATATAGAGGCATCCTCCTTAACATCTTTTTTTTTTTATAATTCTTTTTAAGAATGCCAAACTTAGTGCAATTAATTGCAAGTGAAAGCTCACTACACAGGATACCTCAGGGTAAATTCCTGATTTTGTTCCTGAAATGGCAGATAGTACAATAGGTTAGGTTATTCTCTTCCATCTTCCTCATCATGTTACCAATTATTTCTATTATTTTTTTTAATTTTAAGTCCAGAAACTAGGAAAATGTTTCTACAGCAGGGATCCTCCTAAACTGTGGGAGCAGCGTGCATGTGTCTTCCTGCTTTTCTAGCAGTTAAGTTACCATGCAATAAATTAGCTACAGACTCATTCAAACGTAATGTAGCATTAAAATTGTTCACCATAAATATTTGAAAACTTTGGAAGGGAGATGGCCTGGTAGTTTGTGCAGAGGAGGAGAGATTAGGAGTGATGAGAGGTAGAGTCACTCATCCATTTTGATCACACACCTTTCTGGAGGCATATGGCGCGCTCATGCACGTTCAAACCAGAGCACAAATGCAAAGAATAATTGCCCATTAAAATGGCTGTATATTTTTATGGCTTTGATACAGAATCAGCCCCCTGTTGTTTTTTGCATCTGCTACTCTTCCATTTATCCCAAAGCTTTAAAACTTTAATACAGTGTGTATAACCCTTAAGTACTTTTTACCAGTTCATTTTCCTCCTCTTGGGATCTCAAGCTTTGATAGTGTTCAGACAGTCTTTGTTTTCCAATATATATGTTGAGATACCTAGATGTCTAGAAAATGCACTTAACTCTCATGTACATTTAATACAAAATTAATAAAAGCAATGCCTATGTATTACATCTTCTTTGAAAACTAAAGGTTGGATTAAATTTCAATTGTGAGCATAAAGGTTAAGTTCCTCTCCTTTCCTTCATCCCATATATGTTTTCTGAATTCAATCATTAGTTACCTAAACTCTACCCATATACTCATATGACTCTTACTGATACCAAAAGGCCTTTTTATTTGCTTAATCATTGTAGTTTGCTGCAAGGTTTCATAAAGCAGATCTAAGCTGAAGTTTCATGAAGGAAGTACCTTGACAGTGTTCTTGTAGTGTATTCAGAGAAGACACCTTTTGGTTATTTCATTCTTGCCCTATCAAAAAGGTGACTGCAGAGATTTATTTTAAGCTCTTTGTGAACATGTGAAAAGGTCATGATACAAGCTATTATGGTTTATTAACTCAATTCTGTTTTTATCATAACAATGCTAGACTTTTGACTTTGTATCTTATTAAATATAAATGTAGAACAAGTAAGTTTAAAAAAGAGATTTTACCAACATATTATAGCAAAAGAATTTTTTCATTTAGGCTGTAGCACAAGATGATTTGTGGCCTTTTTGATCATCTTTATGGTAGAAAAATGCAAGTGCTTTTACAGTATATTGTTTTGTTTCTTTTTTAATCTATTTGAAAATGTCACATTGCAGGTCCATTGTAGCTGGTGATAAAGGAACTGATTTTTTTGTTGTTGCTATTACAGTCCTGTCCTGTTCATATGTGAATAGCTGTTTGTTTGAAGTTTGAGTTTGTTTGGCTTCAGAGCTGGTTATGTACAGTCCTTAAGAAGCTTTTTTTTTTTTTTTTTTTTTTTAACCTTGTATCATCACCCATAAAGTTTAGTTGGAAAAATTTTCCTTTTCCCAGTAACAAATGAGAAGAATTCCAGTCATCAAATTACTCTGATAAATTTTAGCTAGTTTTGATTAGATGTGGACGCAAATTTTTCCACACTGAGATTCAAAGACATTTTCAACCCCATTATAATAGTATTTTCACTGACTGAGTTTCAGCAGTTTGGCACTGAGGCACTAAAGAAGGTTGACCTGCAAATTACAAGTCATTAGATATTTGCCCCTTCTGGCTAGTATGTTCATTGCTTTTGGGGCTATTGCTGGTTGATAATACTTAATGCTCCCTGATGGCAGAGCCTTCTCATAAAATTGTTTTTATGAAGTCCATTCTTCAGTTGTGTTCTAATGATGCTACTTCTGTTGGTTGGGTTGAGGATATTAAAAAGTTAGTAGGAAAATAAATTCTCTAGTTATTTCAGGCTCTTTATCATTCCACATTTCACACTTGGAGTGAAGTAGCTTCATTTTTATTTGCTGAACTAGGTGACATGAACTTGCTGACTATTTTACCCCAACAACAATCCCAATCTTCACTATTGCTACCTATAAACAGGAGCAGTGTTTTCAGATATTCTGGATTTTTTTTTTTTTTTAGACTGAACCAATCATCTTCTGGGTATAGACATAATTCTGTTCTGACCTATGAATCTTAACTGCTAGACCTCAGTTGATGGTAAGGCTTTGGAATGCTATTCTCAGTTCCTTATTTCTCAGGCCTCGTTCCCATCATGGCTTATCCTTTTCCTGACAGAAATGCAGATCATGCTCTAACCTCTGCAGGCTCCCAGTTGCTTCTGTAGGCTTTTTTATAGCTTTGCTTTAGTCTAGACATTTTATGCTTCATGATTAATGTTCTTTAGGCTGAAGTACCAGTTGAGCACAGGAAAACAATGCCATTACAGCAGGCTTTTCATTTTAATACATCCATAAAAAAAATACAGATCATAGGAAAATGATAGAACTCCCTTTGTGATCTGAGCCATTCTTAGGAATGCTGGGTTTGGCCTCCATTATGTGTTCTCATTTCAGTAAGTATTTACAGGCTAAGCATTTTTTCCAGCTTTCTCTCTCATTTAGCCTTTTCTTCTCTTTCATAAGAGAAAGCCTTCTTTCTCATAAAAATGTAATAGCGTTTAGGAAAAAAAAAAAAAGATATTGTTTTCTGCTTAGTTAGTTTCATTAGAACTATAGTTACTCATGTCTTCTGAAAATCGAGAGGTCCATATTCACATATATGTGCAAGATGAGTGTCTGTGTGGAGTAAGAGTTAGTCAAACACTGCATTTTATAGAAGGATTGTCTAGAACTCTGAATGTTTCGTTGAAAGAGCTGACTAACTGCTATCTAGATGTTAGAACTATCTAATCATCAAATTGCTTTAAATATTGCTAAAACATACTTGTTAATTACTAAGAAATAATTGTTGAAAACGTTCTTAGAGCAAGGATTCCCTATGGCTTGCAAGCCCCCGGCGTTCTCTGCACAAGGTGGCTTGAGCATAGTTGTCTTTGATTTTCTTTACTTCTGTATTTTCCAAAGGTATATTTTCATGTACATATTATTGTATATTTAAAATTATTTGTTACAGCATCTGATTTTAAAAAAAAGTATTTCCATTTTTCCCTGTGGAAATACTTTATCTGAATTTTCCAAGCATCCAGTTCCTTAAGGCTACAACACAGTTGATTGCAAACTTAGCAACGATAGATAAAGTTCTGTAAGTTCATCCTCCAGATTTTGACACTTCTCTTTTTTAGAAAAAGAAGAATAAAAATATATTTCTGCTTTTAAAAAGGATGATTTTCTTCAAATGTCCTACCGTAGTTTGGTTTCATGTCATGTCTCAGACATGTAAATCCTTGCAAAATTACTGTATAAAGTGTTTGTCGATGAGAGGAATCTAGCAAAGAATTAAAAGCACTGTAGTAAGATGATAGCAGATTGTTCATCACAATTTCAGTATATTCTCTCCTCTGTTCAGCCAGCTACTTCTAAATGTTGCGAACTTTTCATTTTATTTCTAATTCAAAGGTTCTTTCAAATTTAATGCTAAAACAGATTGAAGATATGTCTGAATTGAAATCAATTTGTATTTCAGACTTGAAAAAGTTGCTTTGTAGTTGTTTTATACATTGTTACCTCCAGTCACTTTTATTATTACTAAATAATACTTCTTTATTATATACCTTTACATACTGAAAAAAAGAAATTCTATGTAATGCAACACAACTGAAATAACACATGTGCCAACAGAGCTGGATTTGATTTTCTTGTCTCACTAGTAATTGCATTTCAGAAATTCCTCTTCTAATGTTTGCTATCAACACATAATGCTGTATGTGTTAAAAGGAAAAAAAGAAATAGTGAAGTACTGATTCATCATCTCGTCAACTCTGAGAGAAAGCAAAGCAGAAAGTTTTGCTTCTCTTTTCAATTAAAAAGTTTATGAACAGAAATTTTATAGTTATATTACAGAAAATCTCCAAATGTTACTGCATTATTGCAGCTCAATTTCTGATGAAAATATTTTTTCTCTAATGACTATTAATGTTCACATTTAGTTGTAATGACAATATAAAATTTCTTCTTCATGTGTCTAAATTGTTTCTCTTGGGTCTGACTGTTATCTGAATTCCTATAGATACTTCTGATGTATACAGCTCTTGCCTTGAAGAAATTACAGTTGTTAAGAACAAAGTACAGTCCCTATATATCTGAGAAAGCTCCTGCAGTATTTTTCTTTCCCTGCTACACAGTTCAGTCCCAGCTAATAATTAACTTATTTTAAAAAGCCTGCTGCAGGTGTAGAATTTTTGAATAATTCAGGGGGCTAATGGAGCTCACCTAGTCCCATCCTAACCCAAAGCAGAGCCCACTCAGGTCCAGTAATGGCACAGAAATATCTTGGGCATTGCAAATGTGACCCAGAGCTGAGTGGTTTTGGACTCTGAAGTCTCCTGTTAGCAGTGTTGGCTGCAGCAATCAACATTATTTTTAATGACTGTCTTCTAGGCCACATCGAAATCATGGTTTTCTACTTTCTATTTGTGTACAAAGGTTTTGTGTAATAAAATTTGTTAAAGGACTAATAATGCCCTGAATTTGCAGCTCCTGCAGTGTCTTACCTTGCTTTGTGATGCTGGACTGATGCGAGCCCTCTGTGTTCCTCCTGTCTCTCCCCAGTGCCAGGATTCCCTTACCCCGCGGCGACGGCGGCGGCCGCGTACCGGGGCGCGCATCTACGAGGCCGAGGTCGCACCGTGTACAACACGTTCCGCGCGGCCGCCCCTCCGCCTCCGATCCCGGCCTACGGCGGGTAAGCAGAGCGGCCTCCCTCCCCATGCGCACCGGGCCCGGCCTACGCGGCGGCGGCGTCCGCAGCGCGTGCACCTTGCACGGAGGGGTGAAAAATGACTGTAATTTGGACTGCCACGGTCGGTAGCCTTCAGCATTTCAGATGTCGCGTATTGTTATGTAAATTCTCTTAGAGACTGAACGCTGCAGAACAGAGAAATTGCTCCAGCTAAAGATACATTTTCAATGATCGCAAACATCTGGTTATTAAGGAGGTTGGAACACGTTAACTTCGTTTTTTGTTTTTTCTCAAATCGCCCGCTAAAAGTTGTTTCTGGAGCTGATGGTTTAGGTTTTTTGTTTGTTTGTTTTTTAACAGCAGTGTGTTTAGTTTTTTTAGTTAACATCTTTACCTAGGTAGAAATCAAGGCTGCCTTTCTGATGGCTACATGCTTTTCATGTCTGTTTGTTTAAATATCTTAGGATTTGTCTGTCATTGACCTACAGCTCCTAAGACCAAGTAGTAAATTAAAGAAGGAGCGAAATTCATAGCAGTCACTTTCAGAAACTTAATAAACTTCACATAATTCAGAAATGTCATAAAACCATGGCATTTCTGAGGGAAACAAATTTGCCTTGTCACCCTGTAAATGCTGAAATGGAAGGCTTTTGTATGATGCATGGGATCTTAAAGTCCTGGTATTGTAAAAAAAAAAAAAAAAAAAAAAAGTCAGCTATTAGGAAATGAGGCAATTTAGGAAATTGGTGAATTCAGTGGCTCCAAGGCCAGAACAATATTTTGTGATAGCACCTTGTAGTAGATGTGCCTCTCCTGCCCTGTAGAGCAAGCAGATGGTTTAGATAGAGGTTTGGAAGGTCTTTGAGTGAAGGAGGTTGTTCTGCCTGCCCTCGCTAGCTCCCTGTCCCACAGCTCTGCTCTTGTTGCGGCATGAGACCGTCCTGTGACCCTGGCCTCTTACTTCATGGCAGGGACAGCCAGGTCTGTTCTCTTACTTCATGGCAGGGACAACCAGGTTCTTTTTGCTAGCTTTTCCCCCCGACACTCTGCTGAGAAGAGCTAGCGGATGGTGCTGGCAGGATCCTTTCACACTGTTGGAACACAACAGTGAGCTTGGGAGGTGTTGGAAATGTGTAGGCTGAGCTGTAATAAGGTTAGGACTTGCAGGCTATAAAAGGACCAAGCAGTATATGTGGTGCAAAATGAGGCACAAAATCTCTTTGTGGATATTGTGATCCCATCATATGTTTGGTATTGTTGTGCTAAGGGAGTGTTGGTGTGTTTTTTTCCAGCTGCATTAGTTTATTTAGATCATTCACCAGCCTCTTACAATTAAGCTGGCCAAATCCGTCCCTGGGAGGAAGCACTTTCCCATGCAACGTTTATCCTGTTAAGCCAAGAGACACGTCGTTTTCTAGACAGATTTGCAAATACATCCAGTCAGTCGATCATTGAGCTGTTTTTTGGGCGATATTTGGTTCAGACACTTTGGTTGCTCCTTTACATTAAGCAGAATCACCTCAGAGAACTAGGCTGTTCTAAAAATTGATATAAAAATGATGCCACAGAAACAGTTTATTTTTGTAAAAGTGTTTTTTTCTTTCACTGCAGTTCAGTAAGCGGAATGATGCTACCACAGGAACACACCGTGATTTTTGTAAAACAGATTGCCAGCGTTAGCTTTGGGTGGGGATGACATCCCGCCCACGGCACCCTCCTGTTGTCCAGACTGTCTCATCTAGAGATAGTCCAGGTGTTTCTGCATGGCAATGAAGGGAGCAAGGTTAGAATGTCCTCCAGGTGCAGATTTCATTTCTGAATGCCTCTCACATGGAATCGGAATTGTATACATGATAGAAGCATATATATTGCATAGTACAGCACAAGTACATATTTTCAAATTTTACTGGGTGCCTTTTTTTTTTTTTTGCATTCATATATACTTTAAAATAAGGCACCGCTTTCTGATTACACAGAAACATTCTCTAACTTTAGTAATTTTTGCATCAGTTCAGACCTTAGAGGACCTCTGTTGCATTGGTTCAGTGGAATTAATTAAGTTTTATTCTGAAATAATTTTAGCAGTACAGTAGTATTGGATTAGTATATTGGATTTTGTGCTAGTAACATCATTTATGTAGTAACACCATTTGGAATTTCTTTGACATGGTTTGTTCCATGCTTAACCCATCATTATTCTGACCTATCAGAGAAGGAGAAAGGGACGTTCATCAGGATGATGAATCAGGATGATTAGCATTTCCTCCTAAAGTATCTCTGGTGATTTAAAGATGTATCATAGACCATGCTATAGGAAGGAGTAGAAGCAGGATAAGAATATAATTTGCCTTTAATGTCTGGGAATGTGGATGGTTTGAGAGAACTATTCCATTTGTATGTATGGGAGTATATTGGAGTTGGTGAGTAAAACAAATGCAGAATAGCTGAGAAAGAAACTGAGTGTAATAGAAGAACATGGACAGGAAGGTAGGAAGAATACCAAGAACCCAATCTCAAAATAAAATAATTTTGGGAGGTTGGAGATGGGAGTAGGAGGAGTAACAGATGTTATTCTGGAGCTATTCCCTTTTGTTAAAATAATTAATTTCAAGTGCTACCTTCTATCTGATTCAAAAGAGAAAAGAAACTACATTTTACCGTAAATGTTCATTCTCTAATTCTTTATGCTGGTTTTAGGAAGGAAGGTTAATTAATATAAGCTACTATGTTTGCTAATTTTATACAGCTCTTCTCATAAGCTTCCTCTTTGGACTCTGTGCTTTGTATATATTAGGAATAGCTCAAGCAAACCATCATGTTTTGTCAGCACGTAGTGACTGATGTCTTCCAGCTTCATTCTCTGCTATGATGCCCTCAATTAATTTTTCAAAGAAAATAGTATAATTCGTTCATAGCGAAGAAATACTGAGACTGGAATTAGAGAACACACTAAAAAGTTTGGAGCAGCATTGTCACTATCAACTCTCACAGAAAAGTTTCAGTTGCATTGTTGAACTGTCCCAAAGGTGTTAGTTAGTTCCATAGTTAGTCTTTTTCTTTGGCTTATGAGGTCATAATTGCATCTCTTCTATAAGCTATTTGATGAAGTATATAAAAAATATTCTGTATTTTCAGCAAAGGGACAAAAAAAAAAAAGCACGATAAAATTAGGAGAGTGAAGGTGACCTAATTGGCAATCAGAAAACAGAGATGATCTTTTTTTTTCTCTTTTTTTTTTCTCTTGATTGTGGTGGAGGGGATAAACCTGTGATTCCTATTGCAGTGACTGCAGTTCTGATTTTGGCACCTCTGTTGGACAGAATCAATCATTCCGTGCACTTAATCTGCTTTAGGTTATTTATGTTAACTTGTACAGATTGTGTGTATGGCTGAGGGCCATATATACTCAACAGGTATGAAGTTATTGAACTTGGCTTTGCAGTCAAGAACTTATGCCACTGATAGATTAGATAGATTCAACCTAATCCTTGATAAGGATCAAGAATGGTAGGGAAGAAAAGTGTAATTCTCCCACAATATTATAAAGGTGGATTCTAACCTAGTAAAGAATTTGTTTCAATATACTTTAAAAATAATCTGCTAGAAGACAGAGAATGAAATAAAGCAGGTAGTGCAAAAGTGAGCTGGTGAGATGTGTTACATATTTATCAAGAAATAATTTCAGCAAATAATTACTGCATATTCATTACATCATTTAGAGACATGTTTTCATATTAAATCAGGTTTTCTGTATTCTCTGATTTTTCCTAAGCAGTGTAAAATCATAAAGTACATCTGCATAAATCCCCTAAATCTGTTATTTTTAATGCATCCAGCAAGTGCGTTAAGATAGCATGCATTTCTGGGTGAAGCAATTCAGATTTCAATAATGTGGTTATTTCCAGACCCTGTGTTGGCTTGTGAGAAACTCAAGATTCATCTGTCTGTCAAGATAATTTTTTGCATATAAAGTGCAAAACAAGTTGTGGTGAGATGGGTCCCTATGCGATACATTCAGGCTCCTCCGAGGCTTGAAACTTATCATCTGTTCTCTGCCTACAGCTTCAGAGAGAGAAGAGGAGATGATGAGCCAAATTACCCTTAGGAGAATTATTTACTGAACAAAAGAAAGAGAACATAGCTGTTGGTATTCTGTGCTTCATCCTTCTGATGAAGGGCACTGTTATAAAATAAATTTGACTCCACTGGTAAGACTGAGTCATTGGAGTCAACAAATGATAAAGATAGTGAATAGAACAAATTTACTCTGAAAATCCACAAAACCGTGAAGAAAAATAAGAAGGACACTTCAAAAGAAGCAGCAGGATTTATATTGAGCAACAATAACATACTAGAAGACTATATGGAGGAAACCAAATGAAATCAGCTGATTTCCTTTCAGCATGCATGTCCTGCTCAGGAATGATACGCGCCTGTGCCTGACTCTGTCACTTCCTCTCGCTAGTAACCAGGCTTAATGGTGGAGTCATGCATCCGTGCTTCATTTTAGCATAGGGTTTAGCATCTTCTGGTATATCATTTACCATGAAGCAGTTGCAAATTTAGACTTCGGAATAAATTTGCTTCTATACCTGACTGAGCACTGTATGTAAAAAGAAGTCCTGGATAAATGAAGTGGGCTACCCAAGATTACAACAGGCCTCATTTGGAAATTCTAAGTGCAACAGCCCCTATTCATCTTGTTTTTGCTACAAATTCACAAATCAGCTCAAGGAAGAAGAGAAAAGATCCCCTTTCTGACACGCATTTCTCAAATTTAATTCAATTTTAAATTAGAGAATTAAATAACAATTGAAAATAGTATGTTTTAACACGCTAATATAGTGCCTTCTTTTCCAGTTATTCAAAATGGTGCAGAATTAGGTTAGCACTTAACAATTGAGATGGTCCTGGGTCCTCAGAGGTTCCTGTAAGGTCCAAAGACTTTATACTTGTTTTACTTGGAGCCTCTGTTTTTCAGTAATGATATCTTCTTCACAGAATCACACAGAATCACAGAATGGTTGAGGGTGGAAGGGACCTCTTGGGAGCATCTAGTCCGACCCACCTGCTCCAGCAGGGACACCCAGAATGCATCATGTTTTCTAAAAAAAACAAGTGCTTCCTATGGTCACTGTCATCCATTGACAGTGGGATCACATATCTGTTCATAACAGATTAGTCAACCTTTCGTCAGTTGTATTCATGTTTCTTAGGGTAATGGAGGTATCCCGTTATATTTTGAAACACATTTTGAGACAATTCTATGCTGCCACTGGTCATTTTAAAGTTTGGAGTCCAGAAGCAACAGGAAGACAAGAAAAAGTTTTGTCTCAGATCAAAAGAACTAAAATACTTCTGTTTTCCCCATGCTCTGATGCATCATTAGTTTTTCTCAGTGATCCTCTTTTGGAACTTAAGTATTTTGTGTTAGATAAGTTTGTCACCAACCAGAAACCATATTAAAGATATATTGAGGTGGAGGAATCTTGCTACTATTCAGAGTTTTGTTACCTCCTGCGTATAGCATTAGGCAGCAGATTTTGAAGCACATCTCTTGAGATGGATGATTTTTGTTACACACCGTAAGTGTCCATGTAGATTAATGCCTGTGTCACATGAAGTGTGTTTCTTTACTGGAAGTTGTTGGAAGGCTGGATGAAAGCCCTGAGTGCTATCTTTACGTGGGCATTTTTCGATTAGTTGCTCATTAATCTCTTGCAAAATCATTTGAATTGCATGGTTCCACTAAGGGCTTTGTTTGTTTGAATCCTGTTATAAAAACAACACAAGTTTATCCTTGTTTTTTGCAGCTCTTACGCTGTTTACAGGATTGGTAGCCTGATGGAACAGCTGAAAATGCAGAAACTTTTTGAACTGTGTATTACATATAGCTGTATATTACTGAAAATAATCCTGAGTTATACCTTATCTATAAAAATGTGCGGTTTTAGACCTTTTCTAAGAAGCATGAAATAATTTTATGAGAGTTTATAGCAGCACTAGTCTTTGTAGCATCTTTTTGATAAAGGAATGAATGAGCCTTTCCAGAGGATATGTGACTGTTTAGAATATGAAGTCCTTTTGTTTTGAGTGAATGTGAGTTGATGCAAATGCATGTCTTTTGAAAAACAAACTTGCTCTATGAAATTCCTGGTAAGGTTCTCCATCTTCAGTAAACTTCATATCATGATCTCATCAAACTCTTTCCATGTTGTTCCTGATTGTATATTTCCACTTCACAGTCATGCGGAATGTTCTGTTATTTCTTACATGCAAATAGGTGTGAGAAAAAACATGTAATTTTTAAAGTACTTGAAATATCAAAAACAAAATGCAGGGATGCTATTAGGTAAATAGTAGGTCTTCTGAATACTTCCTATGTTGATCAGTTTGGCATATTCTGTTCTGGAGACAAAATGTAGG